CAGCGAAGCGGAGGAGGCTTCTTTGATGTGGTCCCCATTCTTCCAGTACGTTCAATGACCAATCTTAACTGGTCCTCTACGATGCTTCTTACATGCATTGTCCTAGTCTTTCAAGGCTGTCAACATGTTCTCGATAAACCGCAATTTTTAATGTCCTCACAAATAAAACTGCTTTTTTACTGTTTACAGCTCCAGAAATGCCACAGTGGCGAGTTTTGGTATTACATTTTTTATGGAAATGTCTTCCTCAATGTCACTAGATCAAATTTGGTTCTTGTCTCTGTAGACAGCGTTGAATAGAGGCACTGTACGTTAATTACAATCGCCCGATATAATTCTCGTTTGAGGTACCTCATTTTACAGCACACTCGATTTAGTGCTGATTTCGGAGAATAAACTGTGCCACTAAATCGATGTTACATTATAAATTATAAACAAGGAGCAGAGAATAGAAGAAAATATTTTTTTAAAATTTTATTCAACAGATGTAAACCATGTAAATGTAACAACTGTTTTGCTACGTCACAATATCCCTCATGAAAAAATTATGAAACATTTCCAGAGATCGTTACATATTTAATTAATGTAAAATTACTTTAAATAATTCATTTTACAAAATAAAACTTCGAAAATTACTTATTTAATTCGCTAACTTTTTACCTTTCATTTTATTACATATTAAAACAGATAAAATTTTTCTTAATTTTAACAATAAAATAAAATTCTAAGATTCGTCCATATTTTTGGTACGAATTTTGCAATCTTTATAGTTATAAGGATAAAAAAATTCTTTAAAAATTTGCAGAAAAATTTCACCGAATTTCACAAAAAAATCCTATAATGTCGTAAAGTAACGACAGTAGTACAGTAGCGTGTCAATTTAATAGAGGATATTGTGTTACTGCGTTGATATCAATACTATAATACAATCGATATTGAAAATGAAGTATATGCACTTGTGTAACCCTGTAAGCATGCAGACTGATTTTAACCATCAAATTTAAATTGTTGCTTCAATTAAATCGCATTTGATCAATATTCGGTTTTCACTAAACACTCCGATTCATTCTCATTTCCTTTCCACAATCTGCATAATTCGATTGCAACAGCCAAAAATCACCAGATTCCATAATTATACTTTTTTTTTCTATTCGAATCAACGATTCTATTTTATATATTTATAATAATAATAATTAAATTTAAAAAAACAAAAGAATTTTTCCTAATACACGAGAAATGAACGAAATGAATAATTTATAACAAATTACTTTTTGGTGGTTCTCGTTATATATGAGGCCCTGGTCAAATTTTGGAGGGATGCAAGAGGTTCTAGAAGGTCCCACTCAGGTCTGAGAGGCATTCTACAATCGCTAGAAATTTTTGTAGTAGAAAAACTTCTAAAAAATAAAATAAACTCGGATAAAAAATAGAAGAGCGGGAATAAATTCATTATAAATTTAGAACCGACAAACATCTCAAATCTTAAATAATAATCTGTAAAAAGATTAAACACAGAATGGATGAAGAAATAATTCCAGTTAATTAAGTATGTAATTGCTGTCAAGCATAATAAGTATTATAGAGTTTAGTACTTTATCCAAGTGCTCTCTTCGTGTAAATGGAATATTTTAATTTTTTTTTTAAATAAACACTGTAAGATGAGAAATAAAGTAATAAATATCGTTCCGCTTATCGATTTTCGGTATGACATATAATAATCTTCGTTGCTGCGTGATTGCAAAATTTCCCTTTTATTTATTTTTCCCTTTAAGTAATATTACTAAAAAATATCGACTAAAATTTGCAACAGTTAAGAATTTATTTTATCATTTTAATGCGCTTTTAAATGATCTAAAACTGGTGAACATTATTAAATGCTCGAGATTTTCTTCTGAGGCACATAAATAAAGGAGATAAAGTTATTGTGGATATCAGAGGAAAGATTCTATTCTGTGGATAATTGAAAACCATTGAATTCGCGTGTATTAAATCAAAGGAAATCGCATAAATTAAATGAATATTTCCAAACCAAAATAGCTTCAAATTTTTACGTTTAAAATTTTCTGATGTGTATAATAATAATAAACTTTTCCAGGATAAAATATTAGTGAATTAACGCTGAAACGACGAATTTGTCTCCCGGCAATTTTAATGCACTACAGAAACAACAGTTCGGTCCTTTCCTAAATTAATTTTTATACCGGTGATCGATTAATAACCATAGTAGATTATATAACTTACAAATTAAATCTAAAGTTACTGAACTTTTTAACTCTATACGCTCCAAACATTGTCAATTTAATCTTAACAGGCAAATTTCTCTATTTAATAAAAAAAATTCTGAATATACGTCTTTAAAATTCGAATTAAAATGCTATTAAGTAAGGTATATACTATTTTAAATTTCCATTCGTACTTTTATAACATTTAAATGTTCGATCCACGGTTCAACAGCTGTAGTCTTAGAAGTGAAATTCTGTACTTCCAGATATATAAATGCCGTTGTACCATTACCAAAGTGATTGACAAGACCTGAAGCAAAATCAAAATTAGTTGACAGGTTAATTTGACAGGAATCGTTTTGCTTATTTAAAGAGTTAGCTCAATCGCCAATACAACTTTGTAAAATTTTTAATAGATTTTACTTCACATAAAATTCCATCATATCGAAGTTTTCGACTAAGAAATTATTCTCGATAAATGATGATAAAATATTTTTCTCGATTTAATATCTTTTTCTAAAAAGAAAAAGTAATATTCGATATATGTTGACAGTTGATTTAGGTTGGTTTGAAACTGCAGAATAGCATCTTGCAAAAGATGTAAGACTATCTCACATCAAATCACTAAAAGAACGATCGGAATTCTGCTTGCTTGTAAAAGATTTATACCAATTTCTTCGATTTAAGCTTAGCTTCTAGATATTTTCGACTAAAATCTATATATCTGTACGCCATTGAATCCAACTTAAGCTCAATTCTTACGAGAGAAAACTGTTAAATCTCTCCGATCCGACTACTTCTGATTGAAAATACACGTTAGAATTTAAAAAAAAACATTACGGAATATTCGCCGCAAAAAAAACAGCGAAATATCCCATTACACTTCAAAAGATAAGGGAATAATTTATAAAAATAGTAAGCAATTTTTACTGTAAAATATGACTGCCCGTGATTTCTTTACATACAAAACCATCCGAACATAGTATTAAGCAAGTGCTAAACCCATTACTCACAGTCTAATGTAATAACAGCATTGAAGTAGCAAAGTTTGCTCGCCCACGTTGGATGTATACAATACATATTAATGAATGTATCTCTTCATATTATATACTAGAGCCTTATTCTATCAACGTAATTAAACAAGACTGAAATTCAAGAAGATTAAAATTTGCATAGCGGATGATTGAAATAATGTTTACTTTAAAAAAAAGTAATTAAATAAGCTTGTGTAAGTTTTATACTTTTTAGCGTAGTTTTAGTGTAATAATACGAGTACTTTGATTAAGTTATAAGCTGACATTCTCTTCTAACATTATCAAAAACTGAATATGGCTTTTTAATGTCTTTACGTAATTGTTTAACAAGCTATAAAAAACAATTAAAAAACCTTATCGAATTGTTAAATTTCCTGGAATAATTATTTTAACTCGGAGACAGGACCATAAAAATAGAAAGAAAATTACTCATTTTTACAATTTTTTTAATATTATTTTAATAAAATAATATATATATCACGTACTTTCATTAAACATAAGGGGAAAAAAATAGACTAGAAATTACAAAACTGGAGGGGGGAAGTTCTTCAAAAGTGAACATTCATCATCGTTAGACTTGAAGGAGTCAAATTGAAGAGAGAAAACGTAAAAATACAAAAATTAATGCATAAAATTAAATACAGAATTAGAAACTCGTCCGTATAAATTAAATTTATCATTAATTAACCATCATCCAAGATTCTTTTATGTCACTTTTCAAATTAATATTTTTACTATTTTTCATATCTTGTTAGCAAATAATGTTTAAAATTAATTTTATTTTAAAGTGATAAGTCAACAAGCTCTTTGATTACCTATTAAAAAAAGAGAAGAAAAAAAATTAATTCCTCATTTTGCTTCAACCAAAAATCCGTTATTTATCGTCAAAAAAATATTTTTTAAAGTAACAAATTTAACGACGACGAAATTATATAAATTCTTATATTTTAAAAAAAAGAATAAAGGAAAGAAAAATCTGCTATTTTCTCTAACGTTTGTGAGATCTTTGTACGTTCTGAAAGGCTACAAAACAAATTCTTGCCTTTCACAAATTTAAAGAATTCTTCTTTTGATTTATATCGTGTTTTTTTCTTAGCAAACGTGTACATTTTACGACGTATAAAAATGAGAATATCGAGCAGTTCTGACCTAATTTTGTCTTTGCCACCGAGCAGCAACTAGTGCAAAATAATTACACACAGAAGAAAATCATAAGATTTTATTCTTAATACGTTAAGAACCAAACAGGAAAAAAATAGTCTTCTTACACAGAGAAGTTTTTTAAAAAATAATAATAATAATTTGCGTAAGCAAAATTGGATGATTTAATGGGATTTAAAAACTTTTTATCATGTCTACAAATTACATGCGTAACAAATATTCATAAGCGGCATGTATATAGAAGAGAATAATTTTCTAAGAAATTAAATTGATTTATAGTGATTTAAATTCAACGAGAGTGCAAATTAAACTTAAAATTTTCGTGATTTGCAAGTTTAAGTTATGTACTTAATGTTATTTATCTGTTAGGAGAGTACACATCAGTCAAGCAACATTGAATTATCTTCATGGTGAATATGAAGTGGAAGCTGCTCATGGAGCTGATAGAAACTCTTATTTGAGAGAACATAACGTCGTTTCCTTTTTTATAATTCCTCCGGCACAAAGGAGAAAGGTAATATTAGTTTACCCACTAAAAATATATCCTAAATCCAGAAAATAATTTGGTATCCACTATCTCTCGAGTTATTAAAATATTGAATAGATATTTAAATAAGACCACCTGTTGATCGATTTTATGAAGGATAGAAGATATTATCTTTAAAATATTTATGATATTTGAATTTTGTGTGTGAATATTTTATGAAATTATCGTCTACTTTACAGTAGATGTGGTTTTTTTTTTTTTTTACTTTAACGTTATACTTCTTCCTGTTTTTGATGGAATAGTTGAGCAAATGATTTATTTGCTCGATTATCCCGCAAAAATTTGGAATGTTATAATGATAAAGTGATGTTTCTTTATAAGATTTTCACGATTTTTATTGTATAAAACATCTCTAGAAGCCCTAGAATGTTAGTTAGTCGAGCAAAGTTTGCCCATTTATTTTTGTTGTCTACAATGCTGAACACGTTTCGATAAGGTTGTCTGGCTTGTCTATTGCCTCAGGATATACAAATATCAACAGTAACGCAAGTTAATGCATCTATATAAGTAGCCTGGATAGTAGCGTGATGTACTATAACTGAGATAAGACAGACACCAATATCCTTCTAACAACTCGTCCTCCCAGAAGAAAGCTAATTTAATATAATGCATGATATTAAAATCATCAAAATTTATATGAAATGAGTGTTTAGAAAATTAATTTAATAACTGAATTATTGACAAAATAATAAATCTATATTGTTTTTATTTTAAAAATTCATTAAATAATCAATTAAAGTTAATTATATTCTAAAAATTAGCGCAATTTTCAAGTAAAATCGTGGTTAAAAGTATAAAGTTAATGAGTACGTATTATATATAAAATTCTTCAAAGAATTTTTTATTATATTCAAAATTCACTCTTCTGTAATTAGTAGAGTGTTGAAACACGATAAATTCTAACGGAAAGAAGGTCAACACGTGAATATTGACCCTTCTCTACTTAGATAAAGAAACCGCTCTAATGCGTGTCAAAGTTCAATGACAATGTGATAATTTGATAAAAACACTTCATACACCCTTAACACGAACATGCATTTCTTGAAAATTTTAAAGGAAATTTGAGGTTAAGGTAAAAAAAGTGCTTTTTCTATAGTTTCATACAGAATTTGTTCTCTGTAAACATTCTTATTCATAATCATGCTTTGAGAAGCTGATGAATTATCAATAAGATGCACGACAGAATATATAATGATACATTGATAGGACTATTTAAAATATGGATATTGAAATTTTAAGGATGAATAAATCTATTAAATTTGTGATAATATTTGTTTAGTTTAAAATTTATGAAGTAGGATACTATTATTTTATTAATTTTCAAAAGAATATATTAATGATCGTTATATAAATATTTAATAATATTATTCTATATTTTCTATCAATTCGAATGTATTATATATATATATTCTTCTTGTATAAAAATACTTAATCGAATGCCTGTTTTAATTTCCATCTTTATCGATTTAATATTCTATTACAAAATTCAATTCTTTTCACGAGTGACGTTTGTCATACGTTACACTTATAAATTTATTCGAACGAATAAAAATTTATACAAAGAATAAATTTCTTTTCCTCTGGCAAACTAAACTCTCGGTTTGAAGGGCTTGAAAACACACAAAAAAATCCCTTACTAACCAATTGCTTGAAGTAACAGCACCGCAAGAACATCAAGACTTCTCTATTGCACCTGCACGACCATTCCTAACCCCCATAACAAGGGACGAAAAAGTCACAGAGCGTAATTATTCAGATATTCGTTCTCTTTTTTCTTCCCCGTCTCTCTTCAGACCCTGTTGTTCAACACCCTACAGGTTCGTCATTTAGTTGGAAACACTAGAAGAAAGCTATCTTTTCGTCACGTAGGGAGCGTGGTTATGCAGCTGCTTCATTCCATCAAGTACAGCATGGACGTACCCTTTGCACATGTTGCTGTGGTGAACAACGCGGAAAGAAATGTTAAGAAGGTGAAACAGGTGCATACGACAGGTTGTTATTGTTTATTGGATTTATGATTTCCGTCACGTCTCCTTGTAACTGATTTTGTTTCAATGTAGCAATCGAAAATGGCTGAGAAATTAAGAAAACCGTTTAGAAAAAGGTTAGTATAAGTGATTAACGATAATAATTAACTAAGCACGTGACAAATGATCATTTACCTCCAATTTAGCAACTTTTTAGATTCCCTTTTAGAGACTTAAATCCTCTTATGGAGGTTAGAAAATGTTATTTTCAAGAAAACTTTCTTTAATATATTTTAATAAAATTAAATTAATTTTGCAGGCATTCTTCAATCAGTCAACCAACTAACAGAGTGAATAAATATTTAGCGCAAGCAATCGAAGCAAGAAGCGTTGATAGAGAGAAAACGAATCATGTCAACAGAGTTACCCTATGTTTTAGAGATAAAGAAAGAGAAAAACAAGTAGGTTTATATAAATATTAGAAAATAAAGTAAATTCACTCCATGTTTAACATGCGCTAAACTAAATTTAGGCCCATTGTTCTTCTAATTTTCAATTTAAAAAGTAAATATATACAAGTGTACTTGCATGTATAGATAAGTGTATGGATGCTCTGTAAATAATAATGGCAAGTCGAAAAGAAAATGAATTTTCAATAGAATATGAATAACTAAAGTGAAAAAAAAAACCATTATTTTCTTTAATTTCCATCATCATCACTATTCTTCATCCATTTTCATCATCATCATCATCATCATCATCATCATCATTTGCTGGCGATTAGAACCAATTTCTTTAATTTTCTGTTAAGAATTCACAATCTTTCGATTGGCATAAACATTTTTACAGAGCATAACATGCTATTATTGATTCCTATAAGCTAAAGTACTTAAATTTAATAAATTAAAAAGGTATGAATTCGTTTATTTTTAATATTTAGTATCATGAAGAGAAAGATCACGGCTTTGTTAATAGTATTGCCTGTACCCTTGGTGTTTTGGTAATTTTAGGTGTAGTGCAAATCCTGGTGTTACCAAGGTAAGACATAAATCACATCTTTCTATTATGTCTTATTAGATTTACCTAAATAATATAATTTATGGAAAAATGATTTTTAATATAATAAATAATCTTTTATAAATCAAGATACAATTATATTAGTTTTAACTTGAGATTAATTTGAACTCGAGATTAGTTGATGATTTAGTTAGAGTAGGGAATTTCAGTATGGATTAATTTAACAAAAGATTTATTTGAACGATAGATTAGTTTAATCTGAGGAATAATATGAAGCATAGATTAGTTTAAACTGGGGGATAATTTGAACCGTAGATTAGTTTAATCTGAGGATTAATTTGAACCATAAATTACCTTGATATAAAGGTGAATTTTAAAAATAGATTGATTAAAATCTGAGGGATTAGCTTAATCTGAAGTTAATTTAAACCGTAGATTAATTTAATTTAAAGATTAGCTTAAATCATAAATTAAAAATTATTTGAACTATAGACTAATTTAAAAAACTACAAACTAGTTTAAAGGATTCGTGAACGAATCACAGATTAATTGGTTTATTTACCTTGTTAAAAAATAAATTAAATATTTTGTGGTAGTTTACTTCATTTTAGATGTTAAGTTACCACAAAATGTTACATTCTTTTTATGTTAAAATAAATTTTTTTTATCTTTCAATTATTAATTTTTTTATTGGAGGTTTTTAATGCTATTTATGGACATTATTATTATTCTTATAATTTTCTCTTATATATCTTCAATTAAATTTATATAGAATTTTTTAATTCTGTTCTAGTTTATATCATTTTAATTTATAAATTTAATGTCCGCAAAACTAATTTCTTAAGCTTTTACTCAAAAATAAAAAAAATAAAATAATAATTTAAAATTGTAATCAAATATCTTATTAAATCAGATTAAAAGTACGAGAATATTTAAACATTTTGATTATTTATTTATTTAAAATTGAATATAAACTCGATTATATTAATTCAATATTTAAACAAAACTTTGGTATTTTAATACTAAAATAAATATAGTAGATTTGTTTTATTTTAAATCAAAGTCCCTCAAAATCCACAAACATTCACATGCAAATCCCTTCGCTGGATGTTGAAAGTTTTGCATTTTTGTTACAGAAAATTACTTTTTTTCCTTCTTTTTTCGGGGAATGGGATTTTCCGAAAGCTTGTAAGGCAAATGCATGAATTTTAGTATATATATATATTTTTATTTTTTAATATTTTCTGCATCTTATAAAGATTCCGTTTTCGTTTTTCATATAGGCTACACATAGATTTGTATTTTATTATATCAAAAGTCTAAACTTCAATCAAATTTATTATTACATTATATGATTTAATTGAATTTAATCAAATATATATATTTAATCGTTTCAATTTCTTATTTTAATTCGTTGGTTAATTTTAGTTATGGATTTGATTAAACCACGTGTTTACTGTAATGAATTCATTGAAATCGATTAATTTATAGTAGCGATTAGTTTAAATCATAGATTAATTTTAAACTATTGATTAGTTTAATCTAAGGATTGATTTGACATTTAAGAATTATTTTAAATTGAAAATTAGTTTAAACTATTAGTTTTTTTTTAGATTAGTTTAAGTTGTGGGTTAATTCAATCTGAGGAGTAATTTAAACTACAAATTAGTTTAACTGAAGATAAATCTGAATCATAGTTTGAATCATAATTTGTTATATTATAATGTGATAAACTTATAAAATTTTAAGATTAATACATATTAAGTGAATATATATATTTATTTTCACTTATAAATTATAAATTTTTTTATAAATANATTCTAATGTGATAAACTTATAAAATTTTAAGATTAATACATATTAAGTGAATATATATATTTATTTTCACTTATAAATTATAAATTTTTTTATAAATAAATAAATGTTTTCATCCTCAAATTGTAGACTGTTTCAGTTAATTTTTAAATGTTTCAAATTTATAAGTGAATTTGTATATCATATGTACTAATATTATGACTATTTTTTAATTTAAATTCCCAAAAATTATAAACAAATACTTGTTCTTTGAACTTCCTTAAATATTACCATCTTACGTTTTATATAGACTAAAATTGAAAATATTTAATGTTTATATTATGAAAATTGCTTGAAAATGCTTTCAAATTCAATGTTTATGAAGGACGATCGTTACATTCTGTACAAAGATGTTTTATGTAAACTATGAGAAATTCTTAATCCGTTTTAACTAATGAACTCTTCGTTACTTAAGTAATGAGAAACTGTAATTATTATTACAAAGTTCAACCATATAGCTAATGATAATTAACATTTTCCTTCGTTAAAACTAAAACAAACGTTATTTTTATGACATTTAAGAATAGAAAACGTTATTTCATTGCATTAAATAGAAGGGGAAGTATGTAAAGAAACGATCGATGTCCAAAAAAACTTTAAAATAAAATCAATAAAACGAATTTAAAAGTAAACGTTTCCGGAAAAAGTCATAACACCAAAATATATATATATATATAAGTTTGATCTGAATCAATTTAAAAGTACATTATATGATGATAACGCTTCAGGCACTTTAAAGGAAGAATAAAAAAAAAAGTATATATCAAAGATTTAAAATAACAATTCTGCTTATTATTTAAAAGGTTTTCAAGATTGATTCGTTGATGTCTTTTCTTTTTTTTTTAGAATATAAGTGAAGAAAGTTTAAGAGCTTTCAGTATCAATTTAGATGTTTAAAAAATGAGAACTGCAAAAAGACTGAGCGCAGAAAGTGGTTAAAATTTTTAAATATTAGGAAAATAATTGATAAAAAATTATTTTTGACCGTAAAAATTACTTGAATCTAATTTAAATTTTAAAAAAAATTCTCTAAGTGCCGTTTTAAATTGATCTCAAGATTAAAAGCATGAAGGCCATTCGTATTGCAAATCAATAAAAGCCGTTTTTTCTTAAACACGTGAAGGTTTTCGATAGATTACTTAAGATTTTAACAAAGCAGTGAATATTTACAACAGTTTTCTGTTATTATTTCCGAGGACTTTACATCTTGACGTCGTGACAGCATAACCACAATAAATATAACTTAAGCCATTCTTAAGCTAACCGTGTTCAACCGTTACTACAGTCAATATTATAATTTCTTTTTAAATTCTTTTTAACCTTAAAAATACAGTTTAAATTTAAATAAAAATTTATTAAAAAAGTACAACTTTATACTGATCTTAAGATTAAAATCATGAAGGTCATCTGTATTGCAAATCAATAAAAATTCCAATTATTTTAGATTTATTTTTAAATTTTTTAAAGTATTAGAGTATATAAAATTTTAACAAAGCAATAAATATTTAAAACAATTTTCTGTTATTGCTTCACAGGACTTAAATTGCCATGACGTCAGACATTAAATAATAGAATTGATGGTGGTTACGGTTATGCTATTCTCTTATTCGTAACTACAATCAATATTATAACTTATATCAATAAAAAATATATTCCTGACTATAAAAATCACCTTTAAAAATCCTTTGAAAGTGCTATTTTAAATTGATCCTAAGATTAAAACCATGAAGGCCGTCCGTATTGCAAATCAATAAAAATCGATATTTTTCTAATTTATGAAAGTTTTGGATAGATTATATAAAAGTTTAACAAAGTAATGAATATTTATAACAATTTTCTGTTATTGCTGCCGATGACTTAACATCGTGACGTCACGACAACTTAACCGTAACCACAATCGATATCATAACTTAAGTCATTCTCTCGGGGATTTGTTTGATAAGTTTTGTAATTAACAGCATAACAAATTATGTATATTATTTAATACATATTATTGATTATTCATGAATATTTTATATTTTTTTAAGACATAAAACTTGGAGATTTCTGGTCTTTTATTTAGATTTATGATGGACATGTATACAATACTTGTATATTTCATTCTTTTCAATATTTTATAAGAAGTGAGTTTAGAAAATGTTCACACATGGAATGCAAAATCATATTGATTATTTTCAGCAGGAAAAAAAATTATTGCTTTAGAGTCACTTTGCTTTTTTTTCCTATAAAATATCAAAGATATATAGAATAACGATAAATCATAGAATGTAACTTCTTTTTTCTGCAGAATTTTTTATATTTTTTATGTTTCTTATTTCAGTCACACCCTTCTAAAGGAATGAAAATCAAATGTTTCAAGTACTCATTTGAATAAGAATTTTTCCCCCCTCTTCCTTATTTCTTAATTTCAATTTTAATATTAGTTATTATGGAAAAATAAATGATTAAAATATCTTTTAAAATAATTATATTTACCCACTAAAAATATATCCTAAATCCAGAAAATAATTTGGTATCCACTATCTCTCGAGTTATTAAAATATTGAATAGATATTTAAATAAGACCACCTGTTGATCGATTTTATGAAGGATAGAAGATATTATCTTTAAAATATTTATGATATTTGAATTTTGTGTGTGAATATTTTATGAAATTATCGTCTACTTTACAGTAGATGTGGTTTTTTTTTTTTTTTTTTTTNAAAAAAGTAATCTAAATTTACGAATGCGTGTACTGTAAATACAGTACATACTTGTATATATTTTAATATGATTTTATGTGCTTTAAACGTTTATCTAGTGATATTACGACTTCAATATTTGTGGCGGACAGACGTAAAGTCGAATAAAATGACTTAAACTTGATTTTTATTTTTCCATATACTTTTTTAACAAGCGACGTATAATCGGGAACGACGTAACTCGAAACGACGTAAGTCGAGGTATGCCTGTATTCAGAAATGTGTTTGCAAGATACCAGTTGGGAATCTCATATCTAAAATGGCAAATTGGTGTGAAATTGTTATTATTATTATTTTATACTTTCGTTAAATAAATAAGTTAATTAGTTGCGATTTAAATAGCTTAAATTAGCGATTTTTTTTCAACTTTTAATTTTTAAGTAACTCTTTTAATTAATGTGGAAATATTCTTTAAAAAAAAAAAACGGGTTTGCGGTCCACTAGTTAGGAAACTCTTGCATAAAATATTAACTTTGCAAGAAATTACGTAGGTTATTTCACATTTTGTTGTATAGTTAGTTATAATGCTTAACGATTTTTCAAATTATTTTTAGATTGATTCGCTTTTCATTTACTAGAATATTGTAGCAATACACGGAAATGGGTTCGCAAACTACTGATTGAGAAATGTTGATGTGAAATTATGAAAGTTATCCATTCTTTCATTCTAAAAATAGTTTTAATACTTAATTTTTCGACTTTTATTTTTACACGCAATTCCTTTTAACATGTAATAATTATGGTAGCAATACTCAGAAATTAGTTCGCGAATCACTGGTTGCGTTAACTCTGATCTAAAAATATTAATAAAATGTAAAGGTATAAAATAAAGATCATTGTTATTTATTATATAAATAGCCATTTTTAATGCCTAAAGTGGTGATTTTTCAACCTGTGTTTTAGATGCGACTTCTTTTAACTTGTAGCAATACTTTAAAATGGTTCGCGAACTATCAATTGAAAAACGATCTAAAATTTTATATTACATAATAAACATATTTTACATTAAATATTTACAATAAAATAATTTTTTTTTAATCTTAAAATTTTCAGGACCNAAATATTCTTTAAAAAAAAAAAACGGGTTTGCGGTCCACTAGTTAGGAAACTCTTGCATAAAATATTAACTTTGCAAGAAATTACGTAGGTTATTTCACATTTTGTTGTATAGTTAGTTATAATGCTTAACGATTTTTCAAATTATTTTTAGATTGATTCGCTTTTCATTTACTAGAATATTGTAGCAATACACGGAAATGGGTTCGCAAACTACTGATTGAGAAATGTTGATGTGAAATTATGAAAGTTATCCATTCTTTCATTCTAAAAATAGTTTTAATACTTAATTTTTCGACTTTTATTTTTACACGCAATTCCTTTTAACATGTAATAATTATGGTAGCAATACTCAGAAATTAGTTCGCGAATCACTGGTTGCGTTAACTCTGATCTAAAAATATTAATAAAATGTAAAGGTATAAAATAAAGATCATTGTTATTTATTATATAAATAGCCATTTTTAATGCCTAAAGTGGTGATTTTTCAACCTGTGTTTTAGATGCGACTTCTTTTAACTTGTAGCAATACTTTAAAATGGTTCGCGAACTATCAATTGAAAAACGATCTAAAATTTTATATTACATAATAAACATATTTTACATTAAATATTTACAATAAAATAATTTTTTTTTAATCTTAAAATTTTCAGGACCATTTTATTAATCGTTTTATTTGCTGTTGCTTTGATTTGGATATTAGCTCTGTTTATATTTGTATTAGGAGCTCATTTAAAGGTAAGAAACTAATTTAAATATATTTTATAATATTTTTATATTAATACAGCATTTTCGAGGAATGATTGGCATGCTGGTCTCCCCCGTTTTTATGAGGCATGCCACTCTTTCCGCGAAAATACTGTAGAAAATCTGTAGAAAAGTTTAAAAAGTAATTCAAATAATAAATTAAAAATTTCTAGAATGATAAATTCATTCTAAAAATTTTTAATTTATTATTTGAATATAAAATATATGTTCCAAGTATGTTGTTAACATGTGAACATTGTAGTTAATTACCACTTCTGTCCAATTTGATAGATGAAATTGAAATATTTAATTTTTTTTTTATAAAAAGTATATTATTATAGACCTATTCATTGCTAAATATTTGATTTGTTTCACATTTTCTGCTTATAAAACTTCATATGTGTGTAGGATTACATTTTCAATTCCATTTTTATAGAGTGGTGATGTTATTATGTATGAAAAAATATGTTAAAAGTAGCAAATATCTTACAAAATTGTGAAAAAGTTAAAATTCTTTGTGAATTTTAAATTTAAAAAACAGCTTTTTTGTGTTAAATTTTAATAAAGTTGCTTACAGTAAAAATTGCTCTTCTAACACTCTATTTAAAATGTGTACGGAAGTTTTTTGTACACATTTTAATCTTTTTGTAATGAATAAATAATAGTTATTTGTATGTAAAAAATATAAGGAAAGTTCTGTAAAACCATATTTACAAATTTATAAAAGTATTGCACAGATTGGACAAAATAGTATGAATAATTTATATTCTGTACTTTTTATGTATTTAGCATACACATATGGATTAACATCATAAAAATTTATTTATGAGATATTTAAAAGATATACAATAAAACTTCTATAAAAATAGCGCATAAATTGCATAAAACGTTATAAATAATTTATATAAAAAGCGGACTCTTGATATAGTGAACTCTCAAAGGGATGAATTAAATCATTTATTACATCAAGAATTCACTACATACATAAAAAAACAGTAGAGACCAATAAAATTGTTTAGTTTATCAAAAGTTCACTATATCAAGAATCCACTGTACTATGCTTTTATACATTAAATTTATACTTATTATAGATTATAACTCATATAAAAACTTATGAGATAGTTTCTATACAAAACATATAAGTTTATATAAAATAAACCAATTTTTTAGTTTATAAATTTTTAGAACTTTTTCATTTTCTTTATGTGCATAATTAAATGTAATGATTTATAATACCAAAATTTTAAAATACAGTATTACTAATTTCTAAAAGCTACTGTTATAAAGAGCAAAAATCATTTTGACGTTATTTATCAAAAATATGTTTAAGACAACTCTTAATAATATTTTTTTATAATAAAACATTAAATAAATTTAAAGCAAAGCAAATTTTCAAGATGTTTTTAGTATAGGTCAAATCTCATAAAAAAAAAACTGCACAAAATTAATAAAGTTAGCTACATAAAGTCATATTTATTGCTCAGAAAGACTCATAAACTTGTATATGGAGTAAAAAATCAAATTCTGGTGTTAAATATAAAAAGTTTTATTATAAAGTTAAATAATATTTATTGATTATTGACTGCATATTTTTTCTAATATTAGTTATTCTATAAAATAATAAACTTGACTTGTTCTAAAAAAATAAATAAATAAAATTATGTTAAGTAAAAAAATATATTAAGTTTAAAAGCATCTATAACTGATAAATGTATAACTGAACTTTTAATATAATTTTAAAAGGAAGTTTGTTTATAAAATGTTAGTTTAAAAACAAATAGATTTTATAGCTATACTGAAAGGTTTAATAATTTTGATTAAATCAAATATCAGACTTAGAAGTATTTTAAATGTGATAAATATCAAAATTTGAATCTTAAGTTTTAATTTAGAGTTATTTGAATATTATATTAATTTATTATTTTCATAATGCTTGAAGCAAAATTCCTCTCTTAATCATACCTTAATTGCAGAAACAGCCATTGCCAAGTATTAGACAATTGATGTGATAAAAATTGTTTCCACATAATTTTATTGTATGTTAAATGTATGTTACATGAATTTAAAATTATTATTATAAAATATTTTAACATAATCTATACTAATATTATAAAGAGGTAATGTATGTATGTATGTATGTATGTATGTATGTATGTAAGTTTGTTTGCAGCAGGTAATCTCCGAAACTACTCATCCGATTTCAAAAATTATTTCACCAATATTTAGAACGGAACCTCAGGGTGGACATAGGCTGTATATTATTCCGCGAAACATTCGTATAAATTAAAATATATAATCTAGGTTAAGGCTTTTACGTCCAACAGATGGCGCTACGAGTACGACGCCCTAAGTTTGCTTTTCTGTGAAGCATTACGCTTTTCTGTGAAAATGAACTAAAGCGGATCATCATCTATCTATTTATATAAATAAAAATGTAATGTTCGTTTGTTCCTACCGATTCCTTTGAAATTTTGACAACGCTGCATTCGAATAGGCACGTGTTTTTATATAATATACATGTCGAAATTTCCCGCACTGGGGGGAGATGGACAGGATTAAGGCTTACGGTAAAGAACTCAGCTTCTATTTATACTATTTCAGATGCGGTTTTTTTGCGTTTTTGATTGCGTTTTAATAGGGTACGTCAACAGAATGTACACTAAGAAGAAATTTTTCGAAAAATTTTCCTCCCACGGGGGAAGTGTTATACATTTATAGTAGATACATTTTGAGCCACAACAACGCGTGGCGGGGTCTGCTAGTATAATATATATCTATGCATTATATATACTTGAAAAACCAATATCATAAACCATAAGCCATTAATGATATATTCAATCAACCAAACATCTAAACTATTGAATTATTAACAGGCTATAGCAGTGATGTCAACTGTATATTTAAACTATGTAATTTGGCCTAAAAGTAGACAGTTAAGACTACCTTTAGACTTATCTTTCTTTCAAAATATTCTAAATTATTAAATTTAATTCTAAAATGAACATAATTTTTAAAATAGTAAAAATTCTATTAAGAATCTTCAAATTACATAGTTTAATAATTTAGTATTAATATCATTATTAATACTAAATTATATTGTACATAAATAGTTTAATATACTGATAATTAGCTTTTTGGTTGATCAAATATCATGGCCTCAAGCATACTATTCCTGATTACAGTAAAGGAAAATCAGAAGGGCAAAGAAAAATCAAAATTTCTGTAATTTTCCTTTATGTCCTTCTAGACATCCTTTATTGTACTGAGATTTGAAAATTATTAAAGCATATCTGATGGTTGTTTTTAGATCTACAGTCATAGTAATATGGAGTTGAGAAATTTTCACAATGCCCTAAAGCAAATTATTGCATTCTTAAGTCAAGAGTTTGAAGAAGTCACATCTTATTGGGTCTGCTTATCATCTACTGAATTTGTCAGAATCTAACTGGAATAACCAGGACACAATCTCATGTAAAAGAATTTTATGGGCCTGTATATAATTTTGTTAATTATGCTAACATCATTATTATGTGGAGTTTAGTTTAAAAGAATGGAAAATTGAAAAGCAGAATTTTTAAAGTATTTGTTAAGTTTTAAAATACTGTAATTTATACAATGGAAATTACTATTATTATGTACGGTACAGTACATAGATTTATTACCTAATAAAAAGAAATAGATTATTCTAAAATATTTAATACATTCAAAATTAATCTTTGAAATTTTTATACTAATTGAAATTTTAATACTTAAAAATGTTCAACTAATAAAATTTTTATAATTAAGTTTTATGTAGACAATAATGTATTTTTAATTATGTTAATTTAAATAATCTTGAAAAAATATCAAATTTAATTGAATAATATTTTATTACAATTAAAGAATTTTTCTTTTAACATTTTCTTCTGGTTTAATGAAACAAGAAAATTTAGAAAAACTTTATAGAAATTTAGTTTTTTTTGAAAAGCAGAATTTTCAATTTATCAATTTTTTTTTCTTTTAAATTTAGTTATTAGAAACTTATTTTTTCACTAGTTTTTGTTAAATAGTTAACTAATTTTTTAAAAATTTAATATTTTAATTGAGAGTAAGTTATTTTCCTTATCTTAAAAAAATTATAAGATATAACTACTCTTAAGCAGAGAATATTAAAAATGCAGCCTTATATTATACTTTCAAATTAGAGATTTATGAGAATATTTTGAAATACATTAATGATTATCATTGACAAAAAGAATCTTTAATAAAACTAATTCAAAGTAAAGTTAAGAAGATAGATGTAATCTTCAGATTAGCTTCATCTTATATATTTTCTTTGACTTTCTAAGAGGATATTGGAGGAGAAAGAGTAAGTCCAGCTTGAACTAGTCTGGAAGTGTGTCACACTTCCTATAGGAAGTATGACATACTTCCACATTTTCATCAAGATTATAGATCAAATAATCTAGCTATTTGAATAAATCTTCAGAGTGTAGCACTACTAAATGCTATAATTGTGTCATACTTAGAATAAACTAGAATTTATTTGTTTATAATTTTTAAAAAATAATATTTAATAACTTATACTTCATGAATAAAAGCAATATTATAGTGTGAAATATTGTTTATAATAGATGAACTTTTTAAATTTGTAGTACCGTATTTGTGTTTATTATTTTTCTGGAATTGAGTAATACTAAATCATATCTGTGATAAAATTATTCATTAAACTTCTATGATAGAAATATTTGTACAACATTTACAGTATTATTTTTAAAATTATTTTATAAAATAGTAATTTATAAATTACTGTAAAATTTTTCTGTAGGCATTGCATTAATATTTATTTATACAATGAGGCTCAAAAGTCAGTCAGCTGAAATATATTTTTTTTAATTATTCTTAAAAAATATATCTTGGTAAATTGAGTTTTGAGCTACCTTTTATATTGTATAAATGTTGTATAATTATTTCTAAATAATTTAAAAAGCTTTTTTCACTCATACAATAAT